TATGTTCGTTGGCTTAAAGCAGCGCGGACCCCTGGTTGCGCTTCTGCGCACAGGCTGGGCTGCCCGCCCTTGCTCGGCCTTCCTCCGTGTCGTCACAGCCCAGCAGGGTCCAGCGCTCTTCTCAGGCTCCCATTTCTGAGGCTTCCTCGCAGCCTTGCCTGTCTCATCATCAAGGTCCCGTGATTTCTCTGATGGGGGAACTGAATTCCATCTGCATAGAATTCACAGCTTCTGGGGATGAGGATGCGGATACCTCCGGGAGGCTGCTGACCTGCCTGTGGCCACCGTCCTTTCATTTGCTCACTGTCTGGGTACTGCTCTCCTCACGCGGCTCTCACGTCAGCATCTGCATCCGACCCTCGCTGCTCCACACGCCGGCGTCAGTGCCGAGGGAATCTGCTTGGCCCCGTGCGTCCTCCTTGCCATTGTGGATGCAGGCCTTTCCTCCCTGGCTTATCGCAGCCACTGACCCTGCAGCTGGCTTCTTGCAGGGCTGATGCAAGTTCGTGCAACTCCTCGGGGGCTGCGGGAGGGCCACCCACTGGAACGCCGCCAGGCATGCGCGGCAAAGCTCCTCGGGCTCCCGTTTCATCTGCAAGTGTCCATGGGGAAACTTTGTGCAGCATGATGGCGGGGTGCGATGCAGAGTTCTCGGTGGCCTGGCCAGGACAAGTCCTCGCGAAGGGATCAAACAACAAGTGTTGGCCGAGGGACTGTGCGGTTTACATGGTTAAGGTTCAGTGCGCAGAAATGTCTCTGCGATTCTCTCAGGGACTGCACATGCTTAGGTGCAGCCTTTTCCTTTCCCGTGAGTGGGGAGATTTCCTCATGCCTGGAAGGTCAGTCTCACAGACATTTGGTCCCCGCTTGGGCTGCCTCTTCCCTCAGGTCCTCCCCTCCACTCCACCCCGCAGCTTCGGGCCCTCCCCTCTGGGTGCCACTCATGCCCTGCAGCCACACCTCTTTTGCTCCTGTTCACCCTCAGCCTCCATGCTGGAAGCTCCTTTTCTTGGCCGGGGGCTCACTCCTGGCAGTTGTGCAGGTCTCACAGTACCCATCTCACTTTGTTTAAGGGCCTGTCCCGGATCCCGCGTCCTGCTGAGCTGGGGTTAGCCAGCTTGCCTTTCACTGGCTGCTTCGCAGAGCGGTGGCTTACGGTGAGATGGGACAGAGCCTTGGCTAACCTAACAGCGTGGTCAACATGTATTCATCCTTCTCAGTTTGAATCGATCATATAATACATGTGAAGTCCTGAAAGTGGTGTACAGGAGCTGCCTAGAGCTCACTGCTGGTGGCAATCCTGCAGGCATCCAAAAGTTGGAGACAGTCTCACTCCCTGGCTAGTCTGTCTGGGGTGTCTGACTTCATGAAGCCATGTCATGGCATGATGACATAGTCTAATTTCTACAATATTTCTTTAGGAATTCTATTAAGCATTTATACCATCGGCGGTGTCTCTTTCTAAGTAGCAAATTTTGAGTATTTTTTTTTTTTTCGGTGTCTTATTTTGAATATTGTCTGGAGCCACAGACTTAATTTAGTTGAGAGATTTGAAAGAAGTTTCCAGGGAGGAGTATAAGACAGCGGTCTGTTGTGTCGTTAGGACAGCGGAGCTTTGTCTTTGAGTGTGGCAGTCAAAGAGCATGAAAGCCAGCTGTGGTTCTAGCAGAGAAAGAGCTCGGAGCCACGGGCTCTTTCTGGCAGGACTGTGTGCGTCCGGAGGCAGGAGGAGGCCCTGAGAAGAAGCAGCACCGAAGCGTCTCAGGTAGCGTCCACTCCCGAGAAGGAAGGCAGCCCCTCCCGGGTGCTCTCCGCACGCCTTCTCAGACGCAGGCCCATTTCCCAGGCACGCGAGGCATGCGCGTGATTTCCTGGAGCCCTGTCTGGAGCCACAAACTCATTATTTCCAATATGATGTTTTCTTCAGGAAAGAAGTTGGGTCAAATGACAACGCAGATAATCGCTTAGAAAAAAGGAATGCAATTAGGAGAAAAGATGCTTCAAACAACATCTTAGAAGTTAATATATTAGCATAGAAATTTCTATAAATAGTATAGAAATGTGGGTTATTTTAGTGATGAAAAGATAAATATATTTATGATTAGAATGCATCATGTAATATTAAAAATATGTATGAAACCTCACTCAAAATTATTCACTAAGCTTATGTCAGGAAACTTTCCTATATAATGTTAATTCATGTCTGTTACCAAAAAATATTTCAACCGTGGTTTTATATAAATAGTATAGCTAGGGTTTGACACTAGGAATCTAAAATTTCCTTGACACCATCTATTTAAAGTTCATTTCTAAGGGCTGGGAGGTAGCTTGGTGGTTTAAGCTCTTGCCTGACAAGTGCAGCGAACTGGGTTCAGTTATCAGTGCCGCATGCCGTCCCAGCCCTGCACCCCAGGAGTGCTGTGCAGGTCACCGAAATCGGGCGCGGTGGTGCACGCCTGCAATCCCAGCACTGTGAACATTGAGACAGGAGGAGGAGGAGGATCACTAAGTTTCCGAGCTGCATAGTGAGACCCTGTATCAAATAAATAAATTTTTTAATTTTAATTAATGAATTATTTTCTTCTTGCAGAACCGGGGATTGAACTCAGGCCCTTGCGCTTGCCAGGGACGCGCTTATTCCACTGAGCCATCTCCCTGGCCCCTAAATAAATAAATTTTTAAAATTTGAAAATTCATTTCTGAGTTGGGTGCTGCTTTTTTCTCATGTGTTCGCCACCCTATCAGGGATGTGAAGAAGTACTTGCTATAAGCAGCATATAAAGAAAGAAGTGGTGTTTTGGCTTATGGATTTGGGGGTCCCAATCCATGATCAGTAGCTGAATGAATGTTAGGGCTTTAGTAGGACAGCAGTGATGTGTGGCAGAGGGAGACAAAGAAGAGGAGGGAGCCAGGTCCCAGCTGTCACCCCCAAGGGCATATGTGCCCCCAGTGGTCCAAGGCCACGTGTCAGACCCAAGCACCCCAAGTCCTGCCCCTCAGCCTTATGTCCAGGACTGAGCTATTTATCTCTGGCCCTTTGGGGGGTCACTCAGGATTCAAACCATGGCATTTCTTCAGTATTTAAAAATTATCCTGGAGGAGAAATTGAGACGATTCTTTATATATTTAGAGTCTATAGAATTGAAAGTATTATTCTACACCCATCCATTCTTGAAGTGTTGAGCCAGGCGTCCTCTCCTCAGAGGTGTCCTGCGCTATGCGACGCAGCACTTGCCTGCGCCACAGGATGGGCATGAGGTCTGTAGAGAGCAGCCCCGACGGCAGAAGATGTCAAAGGCACAGAGCGAGCTACACCGCACTCCAATTAGCTCTATTGGCTTTACTTCAGAGAACTAAATATCCTGGATCAATTAAAGTGATGTTGAGGTTTATCTGTTTGTAACCCAAATCAATTCATCCACTGAGGAATTCGTGTTCCCGAGTCTCAGCGTAAGTGAAATGAAGGGGGGGGCTTTGTGCTGGATGGATTCTTCCTGTATAACCTTGGTGTTTAAGAGCGGGGCTCACAGTCTGCTCCATGAAAAAATCAGCAATCCCAGGGTAGGGAGGAATTCTCCGTGCCCCCAAATATGGGGTTTCGTTTTGTTTGTTTTTTGCAGTGTTGGTGACCAAACTTAGCGTCTTGCACCAGCGCTCTACCACCTGAGCTCCAGCCCAGCCTTCCAGTACAGAATTCTCACGTCACTAAATCCATGAGTCTTAAATAATTAGAATAAAACTGTACTCGTGCAGTGTTCTAGTGAGCGTGGCTAAACACGGGCATTTCAATCAGTTTTAGGAATAAAGCACAATTTAAAAATTTTCAAATCTCAATTATCTGTCAGTGTCTTAAAAAGCTGCAGGCTCACCGAGAATCCACATATTCTGCTAGAGAAACGTTAGCAGGAGTGCTCATGTCTGCTGGACGCTGGTGCGAAGAGGTCGCAGACCTCTTGGCAGAGGCATGGGAGGCTGGCGCTCTTCCAGAGCCAAGTAGGTTGAACCGGTTCCGGCGTGTGCTGGACTCACTGCCCTAAGACGGAGCACCTGCCAGGCTCTGGCTTTGGCAGGGCCCAGTCGTGCGTGTGTGCCCCATCTGTGCGGTGCGGAAGGGGTTTCCTCCCGTGCACCCTGCGCCCTTCCTGCTGGAAGCGCTGCTGGGACCAGCTGCACCCTCTGCCTGGGAACCCGGCCTGCCACCCGCGCTCTGCACCTCATGTAGATTTACTACAGCTTGATTCACTGGCTTTCAACAAAGACAACATTCAATTCAGCAAGGAGTCAGTATGCCCTCGGGTTCTAGCCAAGCTTCCTTGTGGACAGGAGTGGCTTCCATCCCTCTGCCTGTGCAGTGTCCCTGCACCCCTGAGGATGATCCTGGCTGAGCCCAACCTCCAGGCTCCCTCTGTGGCCCACCGTAGCCTCCCATCCTGTGAAATGATGATTCAAATTGAGGTTTGAAGTTGGGATACAGTGCAGCCTGCGCCCCTGGGTCACACATGAAAGCTGCAGGGTGCAGAGTGTTTTACAGCATGTGTAGATTTTCACAAGGTGTGGTTGTCTTAGGAGAAGCTCACATTTACCTATGCCTGGCTGCCTGATAGTTAAGAATTTCTTTTTAATTTTTTAAAAATCTATTTATTTATTTATTTATTTATTTATTTTGTAGAGGGTCTTGCTGCACAGCTTGGACTCATAGTGACCCTCCTGTCTCAGCCTCCCCAGTGCTGGGATTACAGCTGACACAGAGAGCTGGGGGTTCTGGGGCCAGGCCGATATGTGGTACTAGAGATCAAACCTGGATCCTTGCACTTGCCAGGCAGGCATGTAGACCACTGAGCTGTCTCCCCAGCACCCCAAACTTCAAAAAGGATAAAAACAAAGACAAAAAAGGTTAGGCTTTTCAGTCCGCTCTGCTCTTGTACATACGTTGCAGCGGTCTGGTTATGACCCTCAGAAGGAGCGAGTTCACTTATTAGCTTTCTTTCCCTTTCACACAGATTTATGAGAAATACCAAGATTTGTATACTGTGGAACCAAATAACGCTCGGCAGCTGGTGGAGATCGCAGCCCGGGATATTGAAAAGCTTCTCAGCAACAGATCGAAGGCCCTGGAGGTGAGTTTAAATTGGATCCTCTCCTCTCACTCTTGGCCCCTGCTGGCCTCCAAGGCCCTGCTCATGCTTTGGGGGAGGCTTGGTTTGCTTTGTTTCTTCACCATGGTAACCGTGTTTATCTAATGTGCTCATAAAAAAATGTGACACAGTGGTTTCATCGGGGACCCACAGTGATCAGCGAGCTTTTCTCTACGTATTTCTTTTTCTGTTACTGTACTTTCTAATATATATCCTAATTGAGGTGTGCTTATACTTATACCTGTGTGAGTCATACACAGTGCTACCATGACTGGGGTTAGGTCTGTCGTGCAGGGTGAAGCCACAAGCCTTACTGGAGCCCTGGAGCACAGTACACTCCTACCTCGCCCTTCGGCCTCCCTGCAGAGGAGGCTGGTGTGCTCAATAATGATGAATGGCCTTGTTGTCTTGCGAAAATGCTTGAAGCTCCCATCACTGTGGTGCCGAGAGAGGCGTTTCTTTGGTGTACTTCTGAGCTTTCTTCCTGTTGCAGCATGTTGCGTGCAGCTAGCTCACTTTTCTCCCTCCACCTTGGGTAGGCCTTTAGCTTCATTTCAGGTTAGGGCAGTCCCACTTGTCCACAGCCGTGTCCTGAGCATCCAGTGGCTGCGGTGAGCAGGGACAGTGCTCCCTTCTGCAGCCTTCCTGCAGGGCCTCCGGGTCATGGGATAGAAGACCCCCAAGGCGTGGGTGGATGTGCACGCCCCGTACAGCAAATGCAGGCGTGTCTCTGTATAACTCCATCTCCTGTGTACTTACAGCACCGGTGGAGGACGCGTGATACCTACTACGCCATTAATGCTGTGTAGTAAGTGGTTATGTTATGCTGCCTGGGTGGTATCAATAAGAAAAGCACATCTGTGAAGGTTCAGGACAAGCTCAATCTTTTCCTTATTTTCCTGTGGGATTGGTTGGATGGTGCAAAACCCACAGAGCAAGTATAACTGAAAACACAGACAGTGACAACTGCAGCGGCATAAGAAGGCACTCCTCTGTTCAGAATTAAATATTATTTTATGAGGGTATATCTCAGTTCATTTATCCTCTGTTGGCAAATTACTATTTGGATTGCTCCCAGGTGGTTTGTACTATAAAATAGTGGTGCTAGATTTTCTGGAACAAACGTTGTGGTATGCGTGTGCAAGAGTGTAGAGTTCAGCTGGGGACGGTGACACTGGTCCCAGTACTCGCAGGGACTGGACAGGAGAATCTCAAGTACACCAAAGGCTGGGGTATAGCTCTGTGTAAAGCCTGCTACTTGTGCTGCCTGGTGCCCGATCCGCAGAGTTGACAGGAGACAGCGAAGTTGCTGGAGTACAGGCAGTGACTGTGCCAGTTTTATAAAGGTGTGACAGCCATTTCCAAAGGGCTGTATCAGGTGGGCCTTTGCTGGCAGCCGCAGACCCTGAATCCACTTCCTGGACAAACGTGGAAGCGAAGGTGCCCTCGGCCTGGGCAGGCAGAGGGCGGAAGTGGTGCCTGCTCTCGCTCCCAGAGAGGCGCAGCCCCGGCTGCGGAGCACTGTGCCGTCCTTCACACGGCCTGGAGACCTGCTCTTATCTTCAGCATAGTCTTTTTAAAAAATTAAATGGTTTTTTTTTTTTTATTTGTTTAAGAAAATGCAGAATAGTAACGTAAAGAAAAAATACAAATATACAGAATTTCACTAAACAAAACAGCATGAATTCGACAGTGTGGTGTACTGCATAGTGTTGTCTTCAAACTAGTTGATCAGACTACAAGATATATGCATAGAAAATTGGAAAAAGAAAGAAAAAAGAAAAAAGTTATAAGAAATTAAGATGAGAGAAAAACGAAAAAAACATGAAAAAAGAAGGCAAGAAAAAAACGGCGCATTAGCTACTCTTTTCTGTAGGCAGCTGAGCTGTATCTACGTAGGACGGCTTGGAGAATTGGACTGGGGGTTTCTGCAGCACAGTCTTACTCTACAGGTTGATTTCTAGGCTCCACGTGCCTGGTTAATTTATTTTAGTCTTATACATGGAAATGCCTTTCTATAGCTTGTGACTTATCACTTGGTTTTGATGAATTCTTAATTTTAATGCAATCAAAACCAACTTCCCCTTAAATTGCTTCTAGTATTTTGTAGTGTTAGATTTAAGAAAACCTCTACCTTGTGATTATACATGAGCCTCAAAATGTATTTTAGTCTTTTAAAAATATCTATTTATGTTTTATGTGTTTAGTACAGGGTCTTGCTACACAGCTCAGACTCATAGCAATCCGTCTGTCTCACCCTCCCCAGTACTGGGATTATAGGTATGCACCACCATGCTTGGTCTTGGTGGCTGGCTTAGCACTGGGCCGGCATGGCATATGGTACAGGGATTGAACCCGGGTCCTTGTGCTTGCCAGGCAGACACTTAGACTGCTGAGCTATCTCTGTGACCTTATTTTACTCTTAAAGGTTCTGTTTTACCTTTCCTATTTAAGCATTTAATCCACTTGCAGCTGATACTAGTATATAATTTTAGGCTGCAATTCAAATTAATTTTTTCCAAGACAATTGATTTTTTTTTTTTTTTTTTTTTGGTGGATTTGGGATTTGAACTCAGGCCCTTGAACTTGCCAGACAAGCCCTTATTCTACTAAACTATCTCCCCAGCCCCAAAGATCATTGATTAAGCAGTTTTTCTTCTTCCCTTGTGGTCCAATTATTAAGCGAGCTATCTGATAGGCCAAGGTCCTCACCATATTTATATTTGGAAGGATCTTGCATATTCTTGAGCCTGTACTTATAATCTGAACTATAGATTCAGCATTCCATTATCTAGAAAAATAGCTACTGGAATTTGTTTGGTATACTGAGTCAGACCAAACTGGGAAGAACTGACTTTCTGTTTTATCTTTTTATTTGTAAGCAGGATGGTCTTTCCGCTTAGCAAGTTTTTTCATTCCTTCAGCAGGATTTCAATGTTCTGTCCAGAGTTGTTAACTCTACTACTGAGTCGGATAGGTGGGTGCCATCAAAATTTGTCCCCAAGTCACCCTTTATTTCCCACTTATTCATTACTCAGAGTTCAGATTCTTAGCCTGATATGTCTTGGTTCTCAAAAAATTTCAGTGAGTTCTTTTAGCACTTCCAAAACTGTCTATTATCATTCTTAAAGTACCCAGGGTGATCTTAGTGAAGCATGGTAGCACTATCTGTCATATATGGGTCACACTGCTATACATGGAATGATTGAATTTAAAAATATCTATCACTGAGTAATCTGTGCTAGGTAAACTTTCATGACGGGAAAACTCAAAGCAATGTTATCTTCAATTTTAGGGCTGTGGAGCCAATTTTTAGAGATGTAAACATTGGTCATAAAAACCACAATAAGGTGTACTTTCTATTTAAGTGATTAGGGCCAGGGATATAGGTCAGCTGCATAAGCCTGGCAAGCACAAGGTCCTGTTTGATCCCCAGTACCAAAAAAAAAAAAAGCTCTAGCTAAGTGGCTGATATTCTGGTGACAGCTGACCACAGTTCTGTGTATTCTGCTCTTCTTTGCTGCTGTTTTTCTCTGGGCGTAGGAAGCAGGTAACAAGAACAGGGATGTCCCTCGAAAAGGCTGTAGAGAAGAAGAATATAGTTTGTTATGTAAGCCCTTGCAGATGTTGTTTTCTTTGTCTTTTGTCTCTTTGTCTGTACTCCAGATGTGTGTGTGTGTGTGTGTGTTAAGTACCAGGGCGCAATTCAGAAGGCAGGAGGGTTACTGAGTGTAGAATTAGATTTCATGTCTGGGAAAAAGATCCTGTTTGTTTTCAAACTAAGTTCTTTATTTAACTTATTTGATTCCATACAAGCAGGAAGCACATTGTTGAGTAGGGAAATACTTGGAGGCTAATTATAGGACAGGTGCTGCATCATATTGCAAATGAATGCAAGGGGTACCTTTAACTTGCTTCTGCGTTTGCTACTCAGTGAAGCACCTGGATTAGAGGGGCTCTAATGTGTTGGGCTTGGACCAGTGGAAGCCTGTATGAAATCGTGTGGAAAAGCCAAATCCGGGGAGATGTTGGAATCGAGCACCAGTTAGGCATTACTGAGTGGTGCTACTAAGCAGCATTGTCTAACTGTGCTCGACAGCCCCGCCGGGTGGGTGCGTCCTTGGTGTCATTCACGGCCCAGTAGTCTCGGGCCGTTTGTAAATGTTGCCTGAGCAAGCATGTGTGTACGGGGCTCCCCAGACTCGAGGGTGCCTCCAGGCCCCAGCCCTCGGGACAGTAGGGGTGCAAGGTACTGCTTTTCCACTAGTGCACGAGTGTGACCGACGCACCTGGCTCAAAACCCCGCAGGAGTGTGACGGGCTCGGTGGCCAGGTTCTCTGCATCCACACTGTGGTCTGCAGTCCTCCTGGTGTGCGTGGGTTCCTCTGGGTGGAACAAGTGTGCAGAAGGAAGAAGTGACCACCAGCTGCTCTACGGACTACTGTCCCCGCCTCGCTAAGGGTCAGTCCTGTTAAATGAGATATCCCAGCACGCTACATTCCAGCATGCTTTGGGCTTCTCTCAGAATCACATAGCAGTTAGCTATTTACAGTGATTCCCAGAAGGCTGGGCGTGGTGGCGCGCACCTGTGTTTCCAGCTCTTGGGAGGCTGTAAGCAGGTGGACCACTACGAGTCTGATTTAGTATTGAGACCCTGACCATCCTGTAGACCCTTCCCTAAAATACAAAAATAAAGGAATAAAATTATATTTCCTGTTTAAAAAAAGGTGATTCAGTGAAATAAAATGTATGGTTCTGACATAATTTTCCTTTTTATTTGAGTTTGAAGACTATGTATTTTTCAGTATCAGTGTTATCAACCTAAGAAACTCTTGAAAATACGTTTTTAAAATCTGTAAAGAGAGGAATTCTTTCTTTCTTTCTTTCTTTCTTTCTTTCTTTCTTTCTTTCTTTCTTTCTTTCTTTCTTTCTTCTTTGCCACCACCTCCCAGGCAAAAGTTCAGAAGGATTTTTTTTTTTTT